TAAATTTTGGTCAATGACATGAGACAAAGTATATGTGAACTGCTGTATGAAAAGTGAATTTACTCTGTAAATCTTCACCCAAATCCTAAAAAAAAAAAATTTTTCCTCACAAAAATTATGAAAATAATATATGCTGATGATAGAAAAATTGGGAAAATTTCCAAGCATATTTCTTTTTTTTCCTTTTTTTTTTTATTTAAGAGCTTGTTTTACATTCAACTTAATGTATATATTTAGTTTCATTCCCCATTCACCGTGTCCAACCCTACCCCAGTCTCCTCCCCTCCGTACCCTGTAACCCTCCCCTTGTGCCCCTCATATTTATGCCCTCCTGTGTGTCCTGCATTTCCTCAGTTTGAATGTTTGTTCTCTGGTGTCCCATGGTCTATTGCTCTAAGAGATGTATTACCATAGAGTGTGTGGGTGCGTCATCCTTGTTTGAGTGGTCTGCGTGTACATCTTGTTAACTATTGGACTGAGAGCCCGCCCCTGGGGGTGAGTTTTATTCCAGGCACAGAATGTATCCTAGGGCCATAGTATTGGGAGTCTCGCCAGATTTCATCTGACCAGTAATTCTGGTCATTATTGAGTTTTTGGATTTTGTTCCACGTTTTCCCTCCCACTCTATCCAGGATCTCCAGATTTGATCCTTTCCTGAGTGGTTGGCATTGGTAGCCTGGCACCATCTAGTTCTTCCAAGCATATTTCATCCATCACTGTGGTTTTATCCCTTGTGAAATGTTGTGCCCTATATTTTTCATTAAACATGACAACATAAATATTTCCACATATCTGAAATTTGCTATCAGTAAGCATCGTCCTATTTCCTCACAAAGTCATGCTGGTAATCATTATCTGCTGATGGGAAAAAGAAATTTAATTAAATTGTCTGACTTTATTCAGAGTTTGTAGGTCATTTGGCTGGTCCAAGGCTGAGTGCGTAACTGACTTAATTAACTAACCTCTTGGAATTGTTGATGGTCTCTAGACGGTTTAGGGGGGAAAAAAAAAAAAAAACACTGCCATCGAGTCGGACCTGACTCACAGCGACCCCTTCTTGGGTTTCCGAGGCAGTATCACTACGGAAGTAGATTGCACAACCTTCCTTCTGAGGAATAGCTGGTGAACCGACAGCCTTCTGGTTAGCAGTCAAATGCCTTAGGCACTATGCCACCAGACGGTTTAGAGTTACTGCTTTGTACCTTTCAGTTCTTTATCCTTATTAATGGTTCAATTATGGATTAATCACTCCCCTCATGAAATCTTCCTTCTCTCTGACCATGAAGAAATAAGATGATGACTGTCTCAAAATAAGCAGATAGCAGATGTTGATTTAAAAAGTTGCAGGATTAAGGCCTAATCATTTGTGAGAGAGCCAAATTTCTGACGGTTTTTCATAGTTGTAATTCTAGATGATTATTCTTTTCTAAAAAGTAGATACATACTACGTTTTGGAATTTGTAATAAGAAGAAGCTTTATTGATATTTTGATATAAAAACACTTTTCTTTCACTGTGGAAGAGTATAAGGTACAGGTGGTGTGGGGGGGTGATGGTGGTCCTTATTTGTTATACATGTAATTCTTTGAAGTTCATCAAAGGAAAAGTCACCTTTCTGTGCATGTTTTATCCCTTGGTGTACATAGTTAACATGCTCAGCTGCTAACTGGAAGGCCGGCTGTTTGAGTCCAGTTAGAGGTGCATTGGGGAGCGTTGGTGGTATAGTGGTGAGCATAGCTGCCTTCCAAGCAGTTGACCCCGGTTCATTTCCCGGCAAATGCAATAACTCTTAGGAGCTCTGGTAGCGTAGTGCCTAAGGCACTTGACTGCTAACCAGAAGGCTGGTGGTTCAAACCCACCAGCCACTCCTCAGAAGAAAGATGGGGCAATCTACTTCCGTAGTGATACTGCCTTGGAAACCGAAGGAGGGGTCACTATGAGTCAGGTTCGACTCGATGGCACATAACAACAACAACAGAGGTGCATTAGAAGAAAGGTTTGGTGATTTACTCCTAAAAAAACAGCCATTGAAAATCTTTTGGAGCAAAGTTCTTCTCTGACACACAGGTCATCATGGGTCAGAGTCGCTGTAAAATGGCAACAGTCTTGTTTTTCTTCTTGTAAATACATTGTTTTGTTATATGTTTTATGTGCTGGTTTAAGTATACAAAAATACATTTTCTATAAAGAAATACTTTATGATTTGAAATATGTATAATTACTGTCATAACCATTATATTCTAATTCATGAAAAATCACATGGAGTCAAACGTTTTTTCTCTTTCAGCCGGATGAATTATACTTTGAAGAAGGGGATATTATCTACATTACTGACATGGTAAGCCCAGGTAACATTTTGTAATATCACATATGAGCAAATTATCCAAAATAAGACTTTCATGTAGCCATAACTTTTTTTAAAATTTCATATAATTTATTTATTTACTTTAAAAAACTTTTATTGTGCTTTGTACAAATTTACAGAGGAAAATTTGTTTTACATTCAACAGTTGATGTACATTTGATTTCATACCCTGATTACCATCCCTGATCATAACAAACCTTCCTCCCCTCCCGTCCCTGTGACCACTCGCTCCCTGTGCCCTTCTTAATTATGCATTCCCGTCTGTCCACGTTTCACTCTATGTGAATGCTGTCCCTCTGGTGCCCCATGGCCAATTGCTCTAATGCAGTTGAGGGGGTGGGTGCATCGCCTTGGGATAGATGTTCTGCATGTAGGTCTTTCTGCTGTTGGGATGAGAGCCAATCCATGGGAGAGAGTCCAGTTCTAGGCCCAAAGAGTAACCCGGGACCAGAGTCTTGGGGGTTCCACCAGACTCTGTCTGACCAGTAATTCTGGTCATTTTTGTGTTTCTGAATTTTATTCCACATTTTTCCTTCCGTTCTATCCAGGATCTCCAGTTTTGATCCATTTCTGAGTGGTTGTAGCCGTAACATTATATATTATTTAAATGTGGGTTTTTACTGGCAAATATGTACAAGTATGTATGCACAAGTTTTCATTTCTACATAATTTGTAATAGCATAAGATCGGAAGTAGCCCATATATTCATCAGTAGGAAAATAGTTAAATAAAATTTGGTGTATTAATGAATAGAGTATTATGCAGCTATATAAAAAGAAATGAGGAATATCTGTAAACTACTGTAGACAAACCATCAGTATATTTTGCTAAGTGGAAAAGTAAGGTGGAAAAAAAGTATCATGCTTTCACTTAGCTAAGAAAAGGTGAGATGATGTGAATAGACACATACCTAGATGACTGAATTTAAAACAAAAAAATCAAAGGATTAAACCATAAAATAAAATTTAAACAATGGTGTTCCACATGTATGAGGGAAGGGGGCCATAGACAGAAGGAACTTAAAAAGATGTATAGATAGGAAATAGATTTTTTAAAGAATATATACCTGGTTTTGGAGATTTGAGTTTGAAATCCTGTAAACTTTTATATTGTTTTTTGAAAACTAATAAGGTAAAGCATCAACATTTATCCTGCCTTTTCTCTGTGAATTGTTTCTTTGGATAACCTGAGTGTTTATAAGAAGGTTTCTCTTTGAAGAGATATTGCAGTTATTTAAATGAAGAAAGAGTAATAGAATTAGAATGTCACCATTTTGCAACCATTATGAAATAATGGGTACAGACATTTATCAGTGGCTACTAACGTTTCAAAAAGAGAGACCACCAGACATTATGTGTCTCCTCATGGAAGAAATTAATAGTACCTATGAACTAGTCACACACACACACACAAGCTTGAGTCTGAATCTTATTAAGCCTCTCACACTAAGGACCAATTCATAGATGTTAGGGAACATGTTTAATGACAACAGAAGGATGCAATGGGTAAAATCCAGACTGTTGGAGACTTTATAGGACAAACTAACAGATTTCTTCAACAGATACATTGTAAGGGGTAAAAAGAGAGTTGGAGGGGAAACCTATATATTAAAAAAGATAACAGACAAATCAGTCATCACAATATGTTCTGTGAAATAGGCTGTTACGTGATTTGGATGGTGTGTGAACACTGTGTACAAGCAGTCCCTGAATTACAAACAAATTCTGTTCCTAAAATTGTTTTGTAAGTCAAATGTGTATGTGAGTTGGAATAGTAAAGTTGGTTCGTATCTAACATCAGTTAGTTAAATGTTTGTCTTTGTATATAGTATATGCTGTACCTTTCTATGCATTAAAAAAAATTTAAGGAAACACTTCCAGATGCACAAAAGCATCTTTAATGTAATAATACAGTAATCACAATGTTTTCATGCATGTCACAGAGTAGCATCCATTTGTTATTACGAACCATTGTATGTACAGGAACATTCTGTGGCACATGACCGTATTACAGTTGAATGACTGCAATGTCTAGAATTTTTTTCAGAATAATCCAGGAGGGGAGGGAAGCTGTGGATGGTCGTATATGTGAAACAAGTTGGCAATGTGTAAATAAGAGGTATATGTAGATTTACACTGTTCTTTTTATTTTTGCATAGGTTTGAATTTTTCTATAGTAAAAGGTTACTATATACACTAACATTCATTACTGCGTTATTCAAAATGCACAAAAGTTGGAAATAACCCAAGTGTCTGGGTGAATGGATAAACAAAATGTGCTATATCTATACAGTGGAATATTACTTAGCCATAAAGAGAAATGAAGTTCTTCTGATACATGCTGTGATGCAAAAGAACAAATATTGTATGACCTCACTCACATGAAATATCTGTAACAGGCAAATACGTAGAAACAAAAGTTTGTTAGGAGAATTAGAGGGAGAGAGAAAGGGGAATTACTTCTTAAGGGATACTGAGTTTCTGTTTAGGGTGGTGAAAAACATTTGGAAGTGTGTTGGGTAATGATTTCACAACACGGTGAACATGAACTGGATCTAATACCACTTAACTCTTTTTTCACCAGAGTGATACCAATTGGTGGAAAGGCACCTGCAAAGGAAGGACTGGGCTAATTCCAAGCAACTATGGTAAGCATTGCCAAGCCTTTGCTTTGGCTGGATTTCATTCACTTTAATGGATCTAGTTCCTGAGGCTCTTCTGCTTGCTGCTGTGGCTGAGAGTTCAGGGGAGGCCTTGCCAGTCCAAAACATTTCCCCTTTCATGAGTCTCATCTTAAATAAGTAGCCATGGTCTCCAGGTTCTTTGACTGACTCTTTGGCTTGTAAAAGTCACAGTCTCAGGAATGTAGCAATCTTGAAAGAAGCACAGAGTTGACGACAAAATGTTTATGATTTTCCTCCATTCATCTCTTAGACCTAATTTCTTCTTCCTACTGTTAAATCAAAACTAAAAGATTGTTTCTTTAAATAGCCCTTTCTTCTGTGATGAAGGAAACCAGCCTTGTCAATTAATGTTGAAGTAGCGATGTTCATTAGATGCTTATTATGGCAACTTGGGGAGCTTGGCCTCTGCCCTGAAGCTGCTTCCAGCTGGAAGATAAAACAAACAAAAAATACAGGGTAAAGTAAAATTACTTACAGCAGATAAAATAAAATATAAAGAGCATGACATTGATACACAAAGGATTTAGGTTTGGATCTTTTTTCTGCCACTTCCTAACAACAGAGGACCTTGGTTAAGACCTGTGACTGCCACCTTTGCAACCGTTTTCCCATCTGCATAATGAGATGGCTGGATTTACATCACTACTAAGATTCCTTTCAACTTTAGCATTGGATGACTCCTTAGGCCAGTGTTGGAATTGGCACTAGTCCCAAGCATTAGAGAGGATTTAGAAGATCTCAAAGAAAGCACTTCAGAGCACAGGGGACTCACCTGCCCTGGTCGGAAGACAGTACTGTTCTTCAACAAAGAAAACTTAAAATATTTCTACACTCTTCTGAGTCTTTGAAATCCAAAGTATACTTTAGCAGACATTCCACTCCCAGCCTTGGTCATGGACACTGGGTGTGGAACCTCTGCTGCTTTGTTGTTAATTGTCATCGAGTTGGCCCCCAGTTTGTGGCGACTCCACACATATGGAATCAAACTGTTGTGATCCGTAGGGTTTTAACTGGCTGACATTTGGAAGTAGATTGCCTGACTCTTCTTCCCGGTCTGTCTTAGTCTGGAAGCCCCACTGAGACCTGTCCAGCATCCTAGCAGCACACAAGCCTCCATTGAGAGATGGGTTGTGGCTCTGTATGGGGCGCATGGGGCGGGGTGGTAAGTGGAGCTTGTCTCCTTCACACTCACTGCTGGCGAGTCAGATCTGACTCCTTGCGCCCCCTCCTTGGCTTTCCAAGGCAGTATCACTACAGAAATAGATTGCTCAATCTTCCTTCTGAGGAGTGGCTGGTGGATTTGAACCCAAGCCTTCTGGTTAGCAGTCAAGTGCCTTAGGCACTACGCTACCAGAGCTCCTTGTCTCCTTCATTTAAGGCAAAAATTCTCCCACTGAACCACCATTCAAATCAAAAAGCCAAACCCATTGCTAGTAAGTTGATTCCAATCATAACAACCCTACAAGACAAAGTAGAACTGCCGTATAGGATTTTCAGAGCTATAAATCTTTAGGGAAGCAGACTGCCACCTCTTTGTCCCACAGAGCAGCTAGTGGGGTCGAACTGATGACTTTTCAGTTAGCAGCCAAATAAATACTTTAACCACTGTACCACCAGCGTTCCTTAAACCACCACTACCCTTTCCTATATTCAAGGAATTGTCTCCTTATGAGCCCTTTGATAGTGGGGACGGGGTGGGCTGAAGTAGCATTTGAAGAGCAGTGTTTGGACAGCAGTAAATACACCTTCCTTAGAGATGCTGGTTGTCCTTTCTGAATACAGTGTCCTCCTCCCCTTAACACTCTCCCTCCCCTAAATGCACACACATAAGAAAACAGTTATTTTCAGGTATCTGAAAAGTAATATGTTTTAGTATACAAAACATTGTTCCACCTCCTACTTTGGCGAATAGTGACTGGGATCTTAAAAGCTTGCAGGCAGCTATCTAGATGCAATGATGGGTCTCTCCTCATCCAGAGAAAAGAAGAATGAAGAAAACCAAAGATTCATGGAAAGAATTAGTCCTAGCGACTGGTACACCATGCGATCCACAGCCTATACAACTATGAGACCAGAAGAACTAGATGATGTCTGGCTACCAATGTCAACCCCTTGGAGGGAGATCTATGTAGGAGACCCTGGATAGAG